ACTACAGACTACCACAAAGCCGACGATAGGTAGTCGCCTCATCAGAAGACAGCAGAGTACCATCCAAACGAGACAACACAACACCGGCCTGCATAGGAGTGGAAATAGGCTTGCAAGTATGCATATTAGCAAGTCGTAGCAAAGCAGTAACATACTTGCGCTGAGAGAGAAGCAAACCGCGGGAAGTGCGATGAACCTCAACACCAAGGAAATAACTCAAGAGACCCAAATCTCGAAGTGAAAACTCCTGAGCAAGACAAGAGATAAAATGTTGAACCAGACCAGATATGCTGCCACTAATAATAATGTCATCCACATATACTAGCAGAAAACACAACTGAGACCCACGGCGGTATACAAATAGGGAAGGATCACAACGCGATTTCACAAATCCCAAGGTGACCAGAAACGCAACCAATCGAGAATACCAAGCCCGAGGAGCTTGCTTAAGCCCATATAGCGACTTATGCAGCTTACACACATAATGCGGGCGTAGGGGATCAACAAAACCCTGAGGTTGAACCATATAGACAGTTTCACTCAGAACACCATTAAGAAAGGCATTATTGACATCAAGCTGAGAGATCGACCATCCACGAGCCAAGGCAACTGTCAACACTGAGCGAATAGTGACCGGCTTAACAACCGGACTGAAAGTGTTAGTGTAATCAACCCCAAAACACTGAGTGAATCCTCAAGCAACCAACCAAGCCTTATAGCGCTCGACAGAACCATCAGCATGGGTCTTAATCTTATAAAGCCATCGATTGCCAACAACATTGCCGGAGAAAGGAGGGGGAACTAAGGTCCATGTGTTGTTTTTGAGAAGGGAAAACATTTCATCCTTCATGGAATTTTACCACTTAGGAATAGACTTGGCTTGAGTAAAAGATGTAGGAGCAATAGGCGGAAGGGGGGAAACTGAGGCAAGATGAGCCGAGGGATCAAAGATCTTCTTGGGCTTGGGGTTAGGACGGAGTGCCATTGAATGAGGACGCAAAAGAGGATGAGGAGGAGGTGGTGGAGGGGAACTGGACTCAGATGATGGGGAGCTGGATACAGGAGAATTAGGCAAAGATGCCGGCGAAGTTGAAGGACCGGGAGAACTTAGTAAAGAGGCCACAGGAATAATAGGAATAGTAGGAGGAGAAGCAGCGGGTGCAGGATTAGAAGCATGCACACCAGGAGAACTGGTTACACGCAACCAAGGGGTGGGAGGGGACTCCGGCAGCAAAGATGGAGAACATGAGATATGACGTTTAAAGGGAAAGAGTTGCTCATCAAACTCGACATGACGAGCAACATAAAGACGATTATTCACCATATCAAAGCAGCGATAACCGAGATGAGATGGAGAACACCCAAGAAAGACACACTGAGTAGAGCGAAAAGAGAACTTATGCCGATTATATGGGCGAAGAAGAGGATAGACAGCACAGCCAAAAATACGAAGAAAGGTATAATCAGGTGGCTAGTGATATAGTGTAGTGAAGGGTATGAGACCCTGAAGAGGTTTACTAGGATGGCGATTAATCAAGAACACAGCAGTTTCAAAGGCAAACTCCCACAACCGAAAAGAAGTACTAGAATGACCAAGGAGAGCAAGGACAATGTCAACAATGTGACAATTTTACGTTCAGCAGTGCCATTCTGCTCATGAGTGTGAGGGCACGCTAGACGATGAACAATACCTACATCCTTAAAGAACGAGTTCAGAGGACGAAATTCAGCACCCCAATCCGAGTTGACACTTTTAATAGTGGTGCCAAATTGGTTTTCTACGAGAGATTTGAATTGCTTAAAAACATGAAAAACATCACTTTTATGCTTAATGGGATAAATCCATGTGAATAAAGAAAAATCATCAATAAAAAGCACAAAGTAGCGATAACCATTGAAGGACAAAATAGGAGCAGGACCCCAAACATCAGTGCGGATTAAATCAAGAGGGTTAGAACTACGACGAAATGTAGAAGGTAAACTAACCCTATGCAACTTCTCTAGGCAACACGCCTCACATTTATCAGTAGACGTGGACATAGATGAATGAGGGAGTTGAAATTGTTTAACCAAGACACGAAGAGTGACATTATTAGGGTGTCCTAAACGAGCATGCCATTGACCTAAGGAAATAAGATAAGCTGTCGGAGACAAGGAACCACGAGCAAGGAGATCCAACCTATAGAGGCCATTATCGGCCCTACCTCGGAGGAGTAGTTCCTTGGTTGATAGATCCTTAACACAACAGGAGTCGGAATAAAATTCAAAGAAACAGTGATTATCCCATGTGAATTGTTGAACAGATAATAAAGGTTTAGTGAGATTATGGGCATGTAGTACACGATTTAAATAAAGAGGACGAGAAGATGATGGCAAGATAGTTTGACCAACATGCTTAATCGGTAAAGAAGCACCATTACCAACTAAAATATGATCCGTACCAGTATAATCATTGGCGATGTTGAGGGATGACAAATCTGGTGTCGCATGACCGGTAGCACAAGTGTCAGGATGCCATGGAGGAGGAGGAGCATACTGACCATATGTGCTTGAGGATGTGCAGGTGCTGGTAAATGAGGGAGACTATCAGAAGTAGTGGTTGTGCGAGGAGGAAAATTAGAGTCAAAGTGGCGACAGCAGGTGAAGGCAGTGTGATTTGGAATATTACATAGCTGACAAACTGTGCGAGGAGGAAAATTATAGTCAAAGCGGCGAGAATAGGTGAATGCAGTATGATTAAGAATGTGACAGAGCTGACAGACGATTCCCAGAGGTACATTCACAGGAGAAGAAGGGTAACCATGAAGTCCACCCCGATTACAACGGGAATGTGAGTTTTTTTTTTTTTGAAGCAACTGAAGAGAGAAGAGACTAGTAGGACAAAAAGGTTTTCAGCAGTAGGAAGGATGCATAGCGGTAAAAGAGGAAGCACACGTGCTAGAAGAAATTATGAATTGCCAACAAAAGAAAAGGATTCAATTGTCACAATTATTAATCAGAAGACTCAATTGAACGAGCCAGAAAATTACCAGGATAGATTTTCACAAATCAGAAATAAGAGGACTAGTAAACACAAAAGGAAAACTATGAGAACTAGATGTGAAATTTAATAAAGTGTAAGAGCTGAAATAATAAAACCTGGAAATTGGTCAAAGTGGGGCGTGAAGAGATGATAATGATGATGATGGGGGATGATGATGGCAAGGGGCAACACCAAGAAAAAGAACACCAAACTGCAACAAAAAAAGCAATCAACGGAGCCTTCGTTACAACAGCCAATCAACAAAGGCAAAGACAGCAAGCAGCAACACCAATAAAAGCTGCAACAATCAAGAGAGGGCAGCGGTAGCCGCGGCAAGAACAAAGGGAGAAGACCAGCGAGGGGGCAGCAGCAGCAGAGGCCTGAAAACGACAGTGGGCAGTAGCAGCAAGAAGTAATAAATCAACGAACACAAGACGGCATCAACGTCAGCAACAATAGCAAGCGAAGAAGCTGACTATGGAAGAAGAGGACAGCAAACAAAGGGAGAAACAAGGATTGTGGTCGACAAGAAAGAGCACACAGAGGCAAGAGGCCAAGGATTTTGGTCGGCGGCGGAGAAGGAGAAGAAAGAAGCCGCGACCGGAAAAATAAAAAAAATAAAAAAACGCTAGCTCTGTACCAACTTAGAATAATAGGAATTGTATTTTCCATCTATTATAATGTACAATATACAAGGGTATATATAGACAATAATAAACCCTATACAAAAGATTACTACCGTAAATACAATTATTACAATAAACATAATATCGGTTCCCAAAAAAATTGTCGACATTGAATTCTCAAATTTGTACTACATAGGACTATTATTTTTTTTAGGACAGAGACAGTACAAAAATTGGTTTGCAGAGGAAGATGAGAAAATCCAGGACAGGAAATCTTTTGTGTGCCTTGTTCTATGGGGCTTTTTCCCAAAAAAAATTAAATAAAATAAACGTGGACAAAATTAAATTTTTCAGAATATCTGTGGACAGAAATATATTGCTCGGATTTCTAAAATCCGAGTGTTGATTAATATTAGAGATTCGGATTTTGTAAATCCGAATCCATACTTAATAATAAAATAATAATTTCATAAATTTTGTTGAATAATAGTTTTTTTAGTTCTTTAGTGAACAATAAAGCTCGGATTTGTAGAATCCGAGTTTAGTTAAAAATTAATAAATCGCGGCGCGAAATTTTTGAACCCAAAAAACCGGAAGTCCGTAATCCGGTTTGACAAATTCGGATTTTAGAAATCCGGATGCCTTTAATTTTGGTTGGTGGAAGTAGGCATGTGCCTTAAATTGGAGGACCAACAAATTAATAAAATAATCCTGAATTGACTAAACTCGGATTTATGAAATCCGAATCTAACACAGTTCGGATTTCGAAAATCCGAGTTACTTACGGACTCGGATTTCGTAAATCCGAGTTTAACGTGCTATAAAAGAAAAAAAATTTCAGGCAGTTCTCATTCGAGAACTGAGTTGGATTTTCTGTTTTTGCAGCTCAAACAAGGGCGAATTGAAGTTTTTGATGCATTCTTGCCTCTAGATACGTGGAAATCGTTATTTGAAAGAGGTTAGATTGCAAAACCATGTTATTTAGTTTATTTTTGTGTTATTTTGATTGTTAGAATGATGTATGATAGATTAGGGTTTATGTTGGTTGGTTGTTTGGATGTTTTAGGTGTTGATTTTGAGGTTAGAAATGAGAAATCATAGTTCATGAGATATCGAAGTTGATTTATAAGTATTTTAGAATGGTGTATTTGTTGGAGTATGTATGGTGTATGGTGTATGGTGTATTTTAGAGAATGTATGGTGTATTTTGTTGATTTTGTTATTAAGAAATGATTAGTTATTGATGTTTTTTTTAACAGTTATCAATGGCACGTAATGTATCATACATGCTTAATTTGTATCATACAAGTAAGTATGTGATAGAGAACGGTAGCATCAACACTTTTTCGAATATGCCGGATGATGGTTTGTTTGTCGAAGAAAGGTTGTCATATGAGGGATTGATTAGTAAGATTTGTATGACCCTTGGTTGGGATCCAGCACACGTGAAACTCCACCTTTCTTTGATTTTCGATAGTCCCGGTGGTAGGCGTGTAGTGAAGATCAAGAATGATTCGCATGTAGAGTTCATGAACCGTGTAGATCCAATGTCATGTTTGGATTTATACATAGATTTGGAAGATATCACTCAAGAAGAAAGAGAAGCGAGTTTGGAAAACGTGTCATTTGGTGATTTTCGAAGGGGGGAACGTGCTAGTACTTCTCGAAACCGTGATGAAGAGGAGACACCTTTATTTGCACAAAATGACTACCGGGAAGAGTTGGATTCCGACTACATAGCTCCAAGTGAAAGCGAAGAAGACTGTGATGTCTCCGGAGAGAGTGATTTTGAAGAAAGTGATGATGAAAGGTTGGAAAATGAGGAAAGGGATTGTAATCTATTCGCCCGACGCCATGTATATAGTAAGATGGGGAACTGGGATGCCTCATGTGTAGACAAGGATGAGTTTGCTCTTAAGATGTGGGATGAGACGCCCGAAGGAATGGACATTGGTGTTTGTTTCAAATCTCAATCAGAAGCAAAGCATGCTGTGAAATTATGGAATATCCATCATAAAAGGGAATATACGGTCGCCGCGAGTAGTCCAAGGACGTGGGCTGTGCGGTGCAGAACATTTAATGTGGAAAGTGAGGATGGTGAACCACCATGTGAGTGGAAGATGCGTGTGTCATTGAAAGCTCACGGCCTTCATGAAATTGTGAGATGGCATGATGCACATAATTGCATGACTCCTGTGAATGGTAATGACAATCGGTGTGTGGACGCGTCTTTGATTGCTAGACTCATCAGGAGAAAGGTTGAGGACAACGTAGATTATACGGTAGCCTCGGCACAGAAAGATGTGAAGACCTTATTGAAAGTAGATGTGCCATACAAAAGGGCGTGGCACGGGAGGAGGAAAGCCATAGAAGCGGTTTATGGTGATTGGACCTCCAATTTGAAGAACTTCCACGGTAAATATCAACTTTTATCCGTGTATTGAAATATTTATAGTATTTTTATTTTTACATGTATTGAAATATTTTAACAATGACTTGTTGTTGTTTAGGTATATCGCTGCACTTAAGTTTACTAATCCCGAGGCGTAGTAGAGTGGGAATGGAAGGAGGGACAAGAAGGTTGGAACAGGGAAACCGGACATTTAAATACGTCTTCGGTCATTTGCACCGGTGGTGAGACGTTTTTGAATGTCCACCGGTCATTGTATCGATGGAACCTTTTGCGTGGTGGATACAAGGGTAAATTACTTGTTGCGGTGGTGTATACCGCAAACAAGCACATTTTACCGGTTGCATTTGCGATTGTTGATGAGGAGACAGTAGAGAGTTGGACATTTTTTATGAGGAATTTGAGGTTGTGGGTTGTGTATGATAGAATCGTAAGTGTGATATCCGACCGGAATGCAGGGTTGTTGAGCGCAATGTCACAGATGGATGAATGGCGTGATTTAGGATATGGTGGGCACTTTCTTTGCCTCCGCCACGTTCGCAGCAATCTTGTGTCGCGATATAATAGCAAAAAGGTGAAGCGGTTATGTTGGAAGATGGGCACGACACTTTCAAGAGTGAAATACAACCGTATGAGGGCAGAGCTTATTGAATTCAAACCTGCTGCATGGGAGTATCTTCGAGGGATTGGGGGGAGTAACTGGGCTCGATTGAAAGCCGGTCTTCGCCGTTGGGGCATAGCGACAACCAACATTTCTGAGAGTTACAACAATGCGTTGAAAGGGATCCGTTTTTTACCAATTAGAGCCTTGATCGATGCAACCTTTCGCAAAACTATTAAATTCTATAGAGAAGAACAATTGTCTGCGAGAAATTGCATGACACCGATCCCTCCTGAGTTATGGAAAAAATACGAGAAAATGAATGATAAAGCAGCCAGTTTTGAAGCCACCCCTTTCGATGGTGATGATGCTATGTGGCGTGTTGTTACTACCACACGCCTAAGTGGCAGGGGTGGGTCTCTGTATACGGTGAACTACGATGAACATAGGTGTTCGTGCAGGAAGTGGCAAGAGTACCGGATACCTTGTACGCATGCACTCCAAGTTTGTCGAAGAAAAGGGGATCGGCCTATTGATCTATACCATAGTGTGTGGCGCCTTCCAACGTGGCGCAGACAATTTCATTACACGGGCTTTGTTCCGGTTCCCGATGAGGAACAATGGCCGATGGTCAATTGGAACATCATTCCGAATTATGAGCGTCTTGTGTTGCATGCGGGACCGGGACGAAGACAAAAAAGGAAACATAGAATGCAAATGGATTACAGGGGACGCCGGAGCCGGGGGGAATGTTGGAGATGTGGACAACTAGGTCATGATGTCAATTCATGTCCGTTCTCGCACCAGGAGTAGATAGAAGACACTGTGAATGACAATGGAATTGAGTGTAATTTCTTGTTCTTGCAAGTTATTTAGTGTTTGATAAATTTATGTGAACATTGATAAATTCGGATTGTAATGTGAACATTGAATTTTCGGATTGTAAAGTGTGATGAAATATGTACTATTTTTCATAATCAAAATCGGATTGTGCAAAATACTCATCATTGTAAGGTTTTGTGAAGAATTCGGATTTTAAATCCGAGCTCGAGTTTTTTGAAATTGCAAAGGACTCGGATTTCAGAAATCCGATTGGGTGAAAAGCATCCGAGAGTTGCAATTTGAGGAGAAACAGGGGAGATTCGGATTTCCTAAATCCGAGCTCAGAGATTTTCTCGAATTTACTAAGAACTCGGATTTATGAAATCCGTGTTTGTGAAAAGCATCCGAGAGTTGCAATTTGAGGAGAAACAGGGCAAATTCGGATTTTGTAAATCCGAGCTCAGAGACTTTCTCGAATTTACTAAGTACTCGGATTTAGGAAATCCGTGTTTGTGAAAAGCATCCGAGAGTTGAAATTTGAGAAGAAACAGTACTAACTCGGATTTCGCTAATCCGAACTCAGAGTTTATTTTTAATTTGCAAAGGACTCGGATTTCAGAAATCCGTGTTTGTGAAACCATCCGAGAGTTGAAATTTGAGGGAAATAGGGAAGACTCGGATTTAGCAAATCCGAGTTTGACGGGACTATATATTGTTCCGTCAACTCTTCCCTTCCCATTTTTCCCCCAATTCCAAAATTAAAAAACCCTAAAACTAAACTCCAATTAAACAAAAATCCGGCTACTCCCACCACTCAATCCGGCGACTCCCTCCACGACCTCCAATTTCCGGCGACTCCCACCACTCTCCGGCGACTCCATTTCCGGCGACTCTCCTCCCTCTGGTCAATCCGGCGTGTCTCCTCAAATTCTCTCCACCTCCGGCGACTCCTTGCAATCCGGCGACTCCCTCCGAGACTTTCCACCTCCGGCGACTTCCTCCACTCCTCCCGACTTCCTCCATTCCTCACTGTAAGTTTGAAATTCGCGATCCTCTCTTTATTTTTTTTTTGTCAAAATTTTTTTTTCTTTGTGAAATCCGAGTCCTTTTTTTTTTTGAATTGTGGTTGGTTTGTGTTGATATAGTGTTTGTGTTGAATTTAAATTGTGTCTATTGTGAATTGCTTATAGTTTGGTAGTCTTGTTTATTTGGCCGAATAATTTGAAGTTTGGTTGATTTGTTTTTGGCCGAGTGTACATCGTTTGGTTGATTTGTTATTTGGCCGAATGTATATAGTTTGGTAGTCTTGTTTATTTGGCCGAATAATTTGAAGTTTGGTTGATTTTTTTTTGGCCGAGTGTACATCGTTTGGTTGATTTGTTATTTGGCCGAATGTATATAGTTTGGTAGTCTTGTTTATTTGGCCGAATAATTTGAAGTTTGGTTGATTTGTTTTTTTGGCCGAGTGTACATCGTTTGGTAGTTTTGTTATTTGGCCAAATGTATATGGTTTGGTAGTCTTGTTTATTTGGCCGAATGTTTATGGTTTGGTTGATTTGTTTTTTTTTTGGTTACCTTGTGTAGGATTGAAATGGCGACGCCGGCATCGGGCTCCCAATATGACTATCAACCTAAACATCTTCACCCGGGACCTATACAAGATAAAATGCTATATCGTCAAACAAAGCATAGGTCCCAAGCTGTCTATGAGAACAGGATACCGGACATTAAGACATTCCGCCTCAAGGGCCGTAGGTACGACAGCGATTTTTGGGCGTTATATAAAAATACGGCCCCGGAGGTTAAGGAAGTCATTAGGAGAGCCGGTTTTGAGGGGATCATGAAGGTAGGGTACAAAAGAGTTGATCTAGGCCTCATTACCGCGTTGGTGGAACGGTGGAGGCCAGAAACCCACACTTTCCATTTTAATTTCGGAGAGGCGACGGTGACGCTACAGGACGTCGAGGTCCTGTTTGGTATTCGGGTGGATGGTGACCCGGTGTACGGCACGACAGTTAGCCGGACTGCAGATGAATGGAGGGATCGATGTGAGGCTTATTTGGGATTCCGGCCGGCGATTGTAAATGGCCAATGTGTCAATGTTGGTATTTTCGAAGATGAGATGGGCCGTGCACTACCTTCAAATTCCACTGTCCATCGATTCGAGCAAAGGGCCAGGACACTTATACTGCATTTTATTAGCAGTTTCATGTTTCGAACAAGACGCAGAACACTGTCAATCTACAGTTCTTGGCCCAGGTTGAGGATTTGGATCAGTGTAGTCGATACAGTTGGGGATCGGCACTGCTGGCTGGGTTGTACTCTGGCCTATGCGAGGCATCACAGTATACCATGCACGACGCCACCGGGTGTCTATATTTGCTACAGGTACGTATTAGTTTTCATATTGTGCTTTAATTATTTTGCGCTTTCGACGTTATAATTTGAAGTTTCTACATTATTATTGCAATTTACTAGGTATGGGCGTATGAGCGGATCGAGAGGATCGCGCCCCAAAGAAAAGGAGTAGATTATTTGCTTGATGAGACCGCTCCATTAGCTCAGCGGTACGTATTTTCAGTTCAAAATAACTCAACGTTTAATTCTATTTGTTTCTTATTCATTTATTTCACTAATTCAAATGTACCCCTTTGTTTATTAAGGTGGGAATGTAGGTACACGTACGGCGACGCCCCAAGGAGCAGCACTCCACCGTTTAGAGATCAATTAACAAGTCTGCGTGTTGAAGATGTAAGTACTTGTAATTTGGTATTTATATTTACTTTGAGATCAATTACCCCTTTCTTTTGGTTTCGGTTGTACCATCTAATGAAATTTTTTTCGTGCAGTTTCGGTGGCAACCATATGCACATGTCCTCCATAGACTCCCTGATTTCTGTACACAAGGCCAAGCCATTTGGACGACTAGGTGTTGGATGTTCTGTTGGGCTATTAGGGAACCCCACGAGTCGGGCAGAGTCGTAAGACAATTTGGATACATACAGGATGTTCCCAAGCGCCCCATGATTAAAGATAACGCAGCATTTCTTCTCGATCACGCCCACAGTATGTGCAGGTATCCTAGCAATAGTTGGGAGGATCACCATTCCATGATACGCCGTCATTGGAATAGGAGAGAAGAGTTCGTGCTACGAGATTTGGAGGAAGGAGATCCTGGTTCCGTATATGAGGGTACTATGAATGGTTTATGGTGAACACTGTCAGATTGATATCCAATCCCGGTAATTATGAACCTCAAGGATACGAGACTTCTTCGAGCCGCGTGAAATTATATGTGAGTTAATTGTAGATTTCTTTTATTATTTCTTATGTTTCCATTTTTTTTTCATTTTTTTAGAACTTTACTCTCTTAATTAACGTCCCAATTTCTTTTCGGGGTGAAGTATTGAACAACATTCGCGTGAGTACCGAGAGGTTTAGAGAAAACGAGAAGATGATAATCTCCTAGACGAAGAACTTGACAAGCATTTGGACGATATCATCAATCAAACACATGCTGCCTTAACCTTGGCGCAAATGATGAGATGGAGGTGGATGATACCCAAATCCTGGTTGATGAAGATCCATTTTTCCCTCACAACCTCCGCCGGGTAAAAAGCGAAACCGTGGTCAAGAGATAAGATTGGAGGAGGAAGAAAGAGAAAGGTCACAATCCCCTCGGACATCGCAACAACAAGGCGAGGGTCAACAAAATGAGGATCAAGCACATTCCTCTCGAGGCTCGCGCATCCAGGTCGAGACTCATTTTGAAGAAGCTGGTGGACCCGAGACTCAGTTTGACATTGGTGGACCTGAGACTCAGTTTGACATTGGTGGACCTGAGACTCAGTTTGGTGGACAGCCGCAACCACAACCGGGAGTCAAATTTATCACCATGGGGGAGTCCCAATCTCAACCCCAAATCGAGGCTCAGTTTGGTGGACAGTCGCAACCACACCAAAGTTCAATACTCACATATCTTAAGAGGAGACGGGGATCCGACAGGCCCAAACAAATACACTCGGATGCGCATAATAAAGGAAAAGGGAAAAATGAGACATTTCATTATTTTGGACATTTATTGTAGTTTTTGTATTGAACTTTTTATGAAACTTGATTTATTTTGTTGTTAATTGAATGCCGTTTATTGTTTTGTTGTTATTAAATTCCTATTTTCCAATGTTTCATTGTTGTTGGGTTTGTAAACATGTTTAGGACTGGTGAAAATCAGTCCAATTTTTTCAGTTCGACAAAGACTCGGATTTGCGAAATCCGAACCCGGACTTTTCTAAAGGATTCGGATTTCGAAATCCGAGTCCGTACAACCGGGAGTCACCATTTTGAGAAACGAGCGGATTCGGATTTCGGTAATCAGAGTTACGCCCAATTTAATTTTTCAACACATTTTTTTATAGTATCCGGAAATTAATATTTTATTCATAAAATCGGATTTATAAAATCCGGATTTAGATTAATTACACTAATTTTTGTCATTAACTTAATTTCAGATTTACGTAATACAAAGTCAGATTTTAATAATCCGAGTTTAGTTGGGGTCGGATTTCCGAAATCTGAGTTTTCCCCCCATTCGGATTTCCTAAATCCGGGGCATATAAATTTGTCCACAAGGTTTTAAAAAGTTTTATTTTTGTCTAGGTTTTTTTTTTTACATATATTTAAGGAAAAAATTCTTGTTCTATGTCCTGGGAGATTTCTAATGCAAGTTCTATTTGGTATAAAGCCAATACTTTGTGACCAATTTTCAATTTCTAATTAGAGAGCAGTTTGCTAAAAACTTTTGCCATGAAAGCTAGAAATAACTGATGTTGGCTTTTACCTCAAATCTCTAGAGAACTAGTTTCCCTCATCGACCAATAAGCACTTAGTCCATTCAATAAGTGAAATTGGCCAAATTATGAAACAGAAACATGAAAGGAAGCTATAGCCTTAGTACTATATTACAATTCTTCTAAGGTACTCTATGTTTATTACATCATGCGAAAACCCATATCCTAGACCCGATGGTGAATGTTGTAGATATTAACAACCCAAAGACTTTTTAAAAAATTTACTAATTAGGTGTCAAAACAAAAATTGGTGCCCTTTTCTTTTTTTTTTTAGTATAATAGAGGAGGTCGAGACCTAGAATTGTGGCATTACAACGTTTGGATGATACGAAATGCCTATTACATTATGTGTTAATGTTAATCATGATTTTACTACATCCGGCAGGTCATCTAATTAGTGTTGTTTAAATTTTTTATTTTTAAAAAAAAGACAAAAAATACTATAGTACAAAAAATAGTATTACTAGTGGAACCAAATTAGACAGTACTTCAAATTAGACAATAATTTGAGATAAATAGAATAACATGCTAGCAGTATATATTCAAGGTACGTGAAATTCTTTTAAATGTACCTTGCATAATAGTTCATTTTTTTTAATGTATCTTGTATGCATAGTATGCTACCTATATGCAAAGGTACATTTATTTTGTAACATGTAAGCTTTAGCATGCCCTTTGGTTGCATCTTATTTAGTCAACCAACGATACTACGCAGATATTGAAGCAAAAGAACACTACTTCATCCTTTCTAAAATACATGAAATTGACAACATTTAAAGGAGGTTCCGAACAAAAGTCTAGCAGAGCTGAAAAAGCAAAACAAGAAAGTAAACAAGCAGCATCAGTTGGGAGTTTTAGCAGCAGCCTGTGCTTGTTTTGTAATGTTACGATCCATGGAAAATGAGGTGTCAGGGGTCTAGCCTTTGTGGGGCACTCTGAGCTTTAATTTAGTCTTTATGACTTAAGGCTTATTGTAAAACGCTTAGGATTAGAACATACTATGTCCTTTGCCTCTTCTTTTATTAGAGGAAATAAAAACGAGAAGGAACGATATTAAGGAATTCGATGATATATATGTTCAGCCCATGGGTATATCTTTAAGTGCATTGTATTATCCCATTTCGCACTGACTGGCTCAAAATATATTTCTTGGTTATACCCTTTAAATATTTTTGTGACATTTGGAACATGAACATCGTCCAAACCTTTATATATATAAAAAAAACAAAAAGAGAGTTGTTCAGGCACAGCAAGAGTTCCTTTTGCAGATTCATGAAACAGAATCCTCTGAGACCCTTCCGCAAGCGACGACATCTTCGTTTCATCCAGTAGCTTCACTTTTGCATCCATCTCTAAAACCTTCAGCCTACCTAAATGGCAACCTAAAACGAATGTCAAGGTAGCCTGGATGTCTCCTCCAAAAAGATCCCTTTCCACAACTGGACTTCAACAAAGCTTCCTCAAGAAACCTCAAACCTTCTATTAACTTCTCCAAAACAATCCATTTCATTATCACTGCAAACCACTGCAAAACAATCCATTCAACTCCACTACGAGTTTGAGCTTCGAGGATTGAAACAACAGAATTAGTTTCCTTGTCATCAATATAAGCAGCCCAAAAGCGAGCGGTTGCACGATCATAGGGATCGGATGGAAGGATTGAGTGACCATAAGGGAAGGATTCATCTATGTATTCCAGAATTGCAAGTGAATCACAGATGGGTTTATGATCATGGATGAGAACAGGGACTTTCTCGTGAACAGGGTTCGATATCAAAAGGAGCTCACTTTTATCAGCCAAATTCTCCATGAGGAATTCGTAGTTTACTGACTTGAGATTGAAAGCCAGTTGAACCCGATTCACAAAGGGGCTTACCCGTGTTGCAAGTAGCTTTACATCATCACCAGTACTTGCTGCCATCCTTAATTTTATTTTAGACTAGATTTTGTGAACACAAATTAATCTGAACGTAACAGGGTTCCTTTTACAAATGGAAGATTAGATCATACGTTTCCAAGTGCTAATGACAAAACATCTAGACAGTCGACATCTCTCTAACCACGCGTCAAACAATTGAAGGTAAGCAATTACATTGGTGTTTCTCGTGGTTTCAAATCCAGCGTTGAAGTTTCAAATTCAATTTTATAGACTACGACAGTTTATTATACAATTCCCTCACAGACTCTATAGACTACAACAGTTTATCATACAATTCCCTCACAGACTCAGGATTTCAAAACTCTGAGAGATTCACAAAGCTTCCCCTCAACACAGAATCCAAAGAAACAAAAACTTGTGCTAAACAAAATAATAATAGAACCAGACAAGCACCAGTGGTAGCAGTTTCAACCGCACTCGGTCTTGACGAAAGCGAGATTATTCAAGCAAGCGCTCTAACAACCGCGTATTACAATTTCCAAACGTAGATTGTAAGTCACAGCAAAATAATAAATTTGCAAAAAGTAAAGTGACAAACTTTACCAATAGAAAGATCAAAACACTCCCAAAATTAAAAAGAGGAACATTGGCCCAAATTGATGAAACTTGCAATCTTTCTAAAGTTGACAAAATTCTAAGCAATCCCCTTCGTCCTGTTCTTATCTTAACTCTGGCTCTGGAAAGTTGCTTCTGGTTTTGGTTTTCGATATCATTGTTTTCCAAGTTAAAGAACACTCTACTCTTGAGCTTAGTTTGTGCCGAAGCATGGAACTTGTCGAGTAGAAGCAACAATTGTGTTGCTATCTTCACATATGCTTCTGAAAAGACTAAAACAGCTGTTTATAAGAGATAATATGAGAACAGAATGTGGTGGCCTGCTGCAAGAGTTGAACCTCCGTTCCCAACAAGTACAAGATTTATCTTTGAATTTCTCTGATTTCTTCCTCTTGCTTAACTTTGGCCAAAAGGAACAAACTAGTTACTTCCAAAGACAACAAGAGCAGCAATTGCTTGTGTATCATTATTCACAACAGACAGTAGAGTCTAAAGATATTAACTGCCTCAGAAGTCTCAGAGTAAATGCAGCAAATTCGGAATGTGATCACGGTTCCAACTTAAAAACAAGAGACCTACAACAAACACTTGAGGCATATTATTTACTGTTTACATCCATAATTAATGAGTCCATTATGCATCTAAATGTAGCAAACCTCTGTTTCTGGATCTTTTTCTGCTCATTTCCATGCTCTAATTTTGACAACGGAAATCTGAATTGATGTACTTCTTTCAGAGGTGTTAACGGTTCATAAAACTAATTTTTAACAGTCTTGGCTTCCATTACTGGTGAACCAGACATAAGTTCTGATCATCAGCGAATTTCATAAAAATTCAGATACTGATTGCAAAATATTATAAGGAAACACGACAAGCTATAACAAAAATCTCTAGGTTAAAGCAGGAAACGAGCAATTTTGAATCTCGAGTGAAAGACACTGTCAAATTAGTAAAAATTCAATGTTCCAAAAAATGATAGATCATATACATAGTCTCAAAAACAAGTGAAGAACGTGTCAATTTTCCTCCATGTTCACAAGAAGATTGATACAAAATAAGAGATACTTTTTACCTTCTTCATCTTTTAATCCCCTGTACATTCCTTAACCTTCAATGAATGAGACAACAGCAGCTCCCGGAATTCAGTCCCCAATTCTATTGTTGAGCAATTTCTAGCGCAAAATGATTCTTTCTGCAGTGATCTATGTAGCCTTCACGCCTCTTGGGAGAGAGATTCCTTTCAATCTTCGAAGTAGATTTCTAGGATGCATACATCTTGAAAACCTTTGAAAAGCAAAAGGCACACGAGAGCAAAGAGACTCTTCCTCAGGAAAAAGCAAGTCACCCTCAATAGTGACAGGCAAAACTACAGAAAGAATGCAGTAGCAAAGCTAGGAAATGTGCATAGCAGGGGCAAAACTTTAACAAATAAAAACCTAGCAGGGGCAAAAATGTTAAATTCTAAAATAGTATACACAAATTTCCAGTTAAAAATTTAATGGGAGGGAGGCGACCGCCTCAACTGGAAATCACTTGCCTGCAATGAGAAGATCGGGAGAGGTGGAACGGATTCATTAACTGTGCAATATCATTGTAGGGGAAAATGATCGGTGAAAGGATCAGGGAAATAAAATTGGCACTGAGAAAAGAGGTTATCCCAGAAACACAATGGGATCAAACAAGAAGATCAAACAAAAGCATGTTACTAGAGATGAAAGAGAAAACAATACCAAAGAAAAGTTGACTGATGGCATAGTAATTTGAGCTTTTCTAATTGATTCCTTTCATTCAACCAAAACTGTCCAGAAGGAGCAGAAAGATATAGAAAGCAACACACATATGGGAGGCTAAGAAGATTTCCACTTCCTCGACAGGTAATCATATACCTCCCGTGCATTTTTGTTGCCTTTACAAAATGCACTCTTAAGCTTTCCCTTGGTTGATGCATATATTCTTATTCTTCGGTCCAGAATTTCGTCTGCATACCTCCTCAACTCTGTTGCCCTATCCAGATCACAGAGGCCAATAAGCAACGCATTTGCACTATCCTCGAGAGGTAATATGTGATTCTCTACCATATACTCCCAAATCTCAATAGCAGTTTCTGGATCATCCCGTTCAAACAGCATTCCAATAGCCCTAGCACAGTTGAAGTGTGTGGCCTTTCATTCTTAACCATTTCAATAAAGAATTCGCCAACTTCCCGCACTTTTCTATTTCTGATCAGGCACTCAAAAATCGTATTATATGTCAGCGAATCAGGAAAGGCGCCATGAAAAATCATAACGTCAAGAAGACGAAAGGCATTATCAACGTCATTGTTGTTGCAAAGCAATTCAACCATTACCTTATACATGCTCAGATTTGGCACCAACCCACCATCCACCAGTGTGTCCCACAACAATATTGCATCAGCCGAGTCATTCTGCAGGACGAGAACATCCAGGGAATTAGAAAAGAATTCAAACCTGGTAAGCAGTTCTTCCCTTTTATGACCTTCAAGAACTTCATAGCTTCATCAAATTGGTTACCACCAACAAGAGTCATGAGAAAGGCATCATATGCTGACACATAACCAGGGCTCCAACCCACCCGAACAACCATTTCTCCAAAAGTACTCTTTGCATTCACCACATTCCCTTCCTTTTCCCAACCCTCCAGCAAAATAGCAAATGAATATGCATCTGGAGAAATCTTGGTTTTAATCCTTTCAAAAAAATCTGATGCTTTTGCAGTTTGATTATTTTCTCTGCATATGGCACTCAATAAGGAATTTACTGCAAGGATATCTGGTTGTACACCATACCTGAAAATCAAGAACTTGAATACATAAATGAATGCATGAAAAACGAATTTTCGACCAAAAAATAAAAAACAGATAGAATTGTAGAGAAGCAGACACTGATAGATGCTCATAGTTAAGAGAACTTTTATGTAGTATATGGTAAGTCAGTATTTACAAAGCTGAAGGAAATCAAAAGGACAAATAGCCTCACTTACCCTGTAGTTCCTTTCTCCAATTAATTTAAAAAAAAAAAAGAGGATAATACTTAAAAAAAGGCCATCCTGATTCATCCTATAGGTATAGTAAGGTACCAGTTTCTGCCCAATAATAATTTCCAAGGTATCTAGTGCAACAATTGAAAGAAAAAAGCAGCCCATTGTACAAAAAAAAAAAAAAGGCTCCCATGGGGCAGATCTTCAAGGAAAGGTTGAGTAATTAATGCCTAATGAAAAGTCCAGGAAGGAATTAGGTCATTCAGCTTTAAGTTAAGCAATGACATAGGACTGAAATGTAGCAGAGGCCGATTTTAGCTGTTTTTTGCATGGCGCCAAGCCAAAATCTCAATTCACATGGAAACAGTTCTTGTTGCTTTACGCCTAAAGCTTCCCTTTGTCTCCAACAATGCATAAAGTAAACCAACGCTCACATAATGCAATCATTACCAGAAACTAACTTATTTAAGTAAAGATCAAACCATAACCAGGATTGAATGCATCTACAAGCAAGCATTGAAAAAATTGCATACAAAGATTATGCATCATGTTCACAATTTGAATGCCTACAGAGAAAGTTAAATTTTCAATTCTCAAGCATAGATTGATTAACTAACAAAGATATTTATAAGCTTTCCAATGATTGGATAAAACATTGAAAAAATAATTTGGGTTCCAAACCTTTCCATGCAATCGAAGGTCATAATGGCCTCATCAACCCTCCTCGCAACAAAATAACTCCCAAAAAGCGGACACAAAAGCAGTAACAGAGAGAACCCCTTGTTGCTTCATGGACCGAATAGTATCCCACATTTGCTCAAACAACTGATTCTTCCCCAACAATTCGACCATTAGGTTCCAAGAACGCTCGTCGTGCTTGTGGGTCAGCCCGGCCCACCGGAAAAACTTGAGGGCAGAAGAAGGCGACCGGAATAGGAACTTCAACACTTGTTGGACAACATCGGGAGACGGTTGAATCTGGGATGATGAAAGGGCTCCTTCCACATCTTCTTCTGGGGTGGTATGGAGAATTTCACACAGGGCTTTGCAGTTGCGGAGAGTTCATAGTTATGGGCAATGAGTTGTGGTGGCAAAACCGACCGCCGTTGTCGATGATTTTGATGAGTGATGATCGGGTGTTTGTATGTGATATCGCGGCTTTCTGGCATGGATGATTGGCAATGGCGATTAGAAAGCTTCGACATGGGCAGAATTTTTCTGCTCTTGCCTTTCTGGCAGCCTCGCGAGATACTCTTGAATTTGGGAATCTTGTGATTGTGAGGGAATAACCAAAATTCAGTGCAGGTCAGACTGAATTCAAACCGGACGGCTCGGTTGACCAGACCGGGAATACAAATTTTCTTTTCCTTTTCTTTTTTTCTGTTTCTTTTTCTTTTTTTTTTTCTTTTTTGGAAAAAAAAATACAAGACAATGCATGAATTATGGTGAGCCAGAAAACGTTTTACGTGATATTTCAAAGTAAGTTATTAATGATTAGAAGTTTTAAAAAATAGCTTAATGCAAAAAAAATAGAGATCGATGAGATTTACAGATTTATTTTGAGTTGTGTTTTATAGACCGATGATAAGGGATCTGTTTGGAGAGGACGAGGAGATTCAAAATTTGGAGGAGGATGTCATACCAGTCAAGGAGGGGCCTATTCCCAGAGCTATTGTACATGACAGAGTGGAGGAGCAGTTGGCAAAGAGGTGGAGAAATGTAGTGGTGGTGAAGCTCATGGGCCAAACAATTACTCTGGCTCAACTCCAAACCGTCTAGAGAGAATGTGGCAGAATACAAAGAGTCTGGTTGTAGCAGACATGGAAAGAGACTATTTTTTCGTCACTTTCACAAACCAAGAAGACGTGACAATGGTACTGGAGAAAGGGCCATGGCTCATAGGGAACTCATATCTTTACACTCAGAAGTGGGATAACACGTTTGATGCTAAGGTGCACAGGGTTCGGCACTTGACCGTTTGGACGAGACTCCCCGGACTCCCTGGTCACTACTGTAACAATTCTTTCCTGAGAAGAATTAGCCAATTGATGGGAAGAGTGGTTCATATAGATCACCAAACTGATACAAAGACCCGGGGTAAATTTGCAAGATTTGCAATGGAGATTAACCTTACAATGCCCCTTGTTTCACAATTTGAATTGAGAGGGAGGAACCAGCTGGTAGAATACGAGAGTTTGAACTGTATTTGCATGACTTGTGGTCGTGTTGGCCATTTCTCTCAAGATTGTGCTTATGGGGAACCAAAAACGGTGCCTCCGGCAGAAGAGGATCAACCGACCGGTGGACAAAAGGCTGAGGCAAACGCCGGAGGTAACACTGATCATACTGCTGGACAAAAGAAGCAAATTTTTGGGGAATGGATGCATGCCGTCAAATTGGGAAGGCAGAGGATTCCCTATGCTCTGAGGCAAATCAGAGGAGCCACAACGCCACACATGGATAGGTCCCGTTTTGCGGCTCTCAATAGTTTGAAAGAGGATGTTTTGCCTGATGACACAACCAAGATTTCCGGGGTGTCAGCCGACTTTGAACGGAGGAGAGAATATGTCCCATCAACAGCACAAGTGGTCCTGAGAAAAGAGAAGCCCAAAGAAAAAGAAAAGGCCCAGACAATTACCATGTGGAGGGAATAGTATCAACGGCTTGGAGAAGGCTCAGAAAGAAAATGACCAACGAGCTAAAGGAAAAGTGATCAACAGCAAGAGGATAGGCCAGGCCCAGAATGAGAACAAGCTCAGTAGCCCTGGAGGTCTGATTGAAAAGCCCACCTACAGTGCTGCAACCAATGACCCACAAAGGCCATCAAAATAACCCAATTGACCCAGAACAAATGGTAGCGATGAAGGAAAAAGAAAGAAGTGGACAAACGGGAGCTCACGAAGTCACCAAAAACAAATTCCCAAATACAATTGATGTAGAGTTGGAACTTGACTCTGCCAAACATCGGGTCGTTTCGATTCAAAATCCACCACAAATAAAATCATCCATGGAGATAGAGGCGGGGAGTGATGAGCTAGAGGATTCCGAAGAGGGTGGAGAAAGGCGGTGGATCGAAGAGTCTCTGGTGGAGTGTGGTGACCAGGAGAATCGGGTTTGCATGGAGCTGGAGGTGGAGAGGTCAGCATTCACCGGGGATCTGCTCTATGGATGAGGATGAGTGCCCGGGTACTTCTATTCCTAGCATGATCTGATAGCTTGAGGTACCAGATTTCTCATATGTAAATATTTTTATGTTAATTAATATTATGTGCTGGAACGTCCAAGGGGCGGGTTCAGACCCCTTTAGGCGTGCTTTTCAGAGTATTGTGCAACAATACAAACCCGATGTGGTTGCAGTTTTGGAACCTCGAATGAATGCAGACTCTTTTATTCGAACCAGTGGCTTCAAGAGGTCCTTTCGGGTGGAGGCGGTGGGTTTCTCGGGGGGTATTTGGGTAATGTGGAAAGAGTCCGTGGAAGTAGAAATTTTGGCCTGTCACAGGCAATTTGTACACACAAAAATCACAAAAATGCAGGAGGTGGTGTATGCTACTTTTGTTTATGCAGTCCCAAATCCAGTAGGGAGGAGGGAACTTTAGAGGGAGTTAGATATTTTAGCAAGGAGAATGGCGGGTGCGTGGTTAGCTGGGGGAGACTTTAATTGTATTCTCCATGATTTAGAGAGTAGGGGAGGAACAAGTAGGGGAAGAATAACCTGCGAAAGGTTTGCGGAGTGGGTGTTTCAGAATCAATTACAGGAAGTAAGGTCTGACGGTGTTCAATTTACATGGAGAAGGGGTAACTTAGAAAGGAGACTTGACAGGTTTCTGTGTAATGAAAGGTGGGATGATCTCTATCCGGAAGGGTAGTGCGCCCATATCCCAAAACAAAAATCGGATCATAACCCCCTTTTACTCAGGTTTACGTCAACGGAGGAGGAGGATGTGGAGACGAGACAGTTCAGGTTTCTTGCTGCTTGGCTTACTCACGAAGACTATGATAATTTTGTTCCCAAAAATTGGACTGATGAAGCTGATTATTGTGTGGTTGCTGATCAGTTTAAACACTCAGTTCAAAGGTGGAATAAGGATGTTTTTGGTAATATTTTTAGGAGGAAAAAAAGGGCTATGGCACGACTAGCAGGGATTCAAAAGGCACGAGAATTGCAAGAATCTCCCTGGTTGGATGAACTAGAAACAAATATACAAGCTGAGCTGGATGGTATACTGTTGCAGAAGGAGTATCTCTGGATTCAAAAATCAACAAGGTGTTGGAACCTGGAAGGAGATAGGAATACTTCCTTCTATCACAGATATGCAAAGGGGAGACGAAGGAAGAATAGGATTGTGGCTTTGTTTGATGATGAAGGGAGGGTGGTTGAAGGGCAGACATCTCTCAGATCCCTTGCAACAGATTTCCTGAAGCAACTGTATGTGGCAGATTTGCCACCCTTTGTTCTCTATGAAGTGTGGAACTGCTTTCCACCTTTAAAACAGCGGCAGAGGAGAAGGCTGGAAATGGAAATCACGGACAGGGAGATCCTTAAGGCTTTAAAGGACATGAGACCTTTGAAGTCCCTGGGGCTAGATGGTTTGCATCCTATTTTCTTTCACAAATAGTGTGAGGTGGTAGGAAGCTCTGTCTGTAGGACTGTGAGGAGAATAATGGCTAGTGAAGGAGTACCAGAGGAGTTGAATTGCACACTTATAGTCCTAATCTCGAAGGTGGACAACCCGGATTCGATTAAGAAATTCAGACCCATTAGCTTGTGCAACGTGGTCTATAAGATTGCAACGAAACTGATCACGAATCGAATCAAAGGCATACTCCCAGATTTAATAAGCTTGGCACAGACGAGCTTTGTTCCGAGGAGGCACATATCAGATAACGTCATTGTGGCCCAAGAGGTAATCCACTCTTTTCGTGGGGCAAAAGGGAAAAAAGGTTTCATGGCAATCAAAATAGATCTCGAGAAAGCATATGACATGCTCCGTTGGGATTTTATTGAGGATACTCTCAAACAGGTGGATTTGCTGGAGTCCCTGATCACGGTAATTATGAGTTGCATTACATCGCCTACTATGCACGTCCTTTGGAATGACATACCAGCTGAAGGCTTCAAGACCACAAGGGGGATCCGACAAGTAGACCCCATCTCCCCATATTTATTTGTACTTTGTGTAGAGCGACTGGCGCACGCAATAAATTTGAAGGTTGCTTCCGGGGAGTGGAAACCCTTCAAGTTTGGCATGGAAAAAGTTGCAGTGCGTACTTACTGTTTGCGGATGATATCTTTTTGTTTTTGGAAGCTACGATGGACCAAGTGGAGGTGGTACAGTCCTTGTTGGGTGCCTTTTGTTTTTTCTCTGTGAGAGTGAGCTCGGCGAAGACTCGTGTACTTTTTTTCAAAAAATGTCCATCATGTAAGGAGGCAAGAATTGGCAGGAGGCTTGGGGTTTGGCTCTGTTGAAGATTTGGGAAAGTATCTTGGGATGCCATTATTGCATGGGAGGGGGACCAAAAATACGTACGGTTGGATTGCTGAAGATGTGAGGAAAAAGATGAGTGGTTGGGTGCGGCGTCTCTATCTCTGGCGGGTAGAGCAACCTTGGCGCAAACCGTGATCACTGCTATGCTTTTCTATGCCATGCAGACCACAACACTCCCGGTTTCTGTCTGTGAGGAGATTGAAAAAATAAGCAGGAAGTTCTTGTGGTCAGGGAAGAAAGATCAGAGGAAACTTAGCTTGGTGGCTTGGGATGAGGTGTGTCGAGAAAAATTGCAAGGTGGGTTGGGTCTAAAAATACCAAGGGAGATGAATAATGCTTTCTTGATGAAGCTGGGATGGCAACTACTGAAGGGAAGCCGGGCTTTGTGGGCAAGAGTGGTCACAGCAAAATACAACTTACAACTTCGGAATGGGCCTGTGTTACCAGAACGGGCCAATGTATCCTCTTGCTTCAGAGGTATAAGGAAGAATTGGCCAAAGTTAGTAGAAGGAATGAGGTGGGCCTTAGGGGATGGGAGTAAAATAAGATTTTGGACTGATAAATGGATTGTGGGCTTGCCTCCACTAATATCCATTGCAGTTGCCCAAGTACCACCTCATCAGCAACATTTCATGGTCAACCAACTAGTAGACGTAAGAGGCGAGTGGAGATGGAAAGCTTTCCGAGATCTGATTCCCGCAACGGCGCTCCTCCGGATAGCCACAACCTTGCCGCCCAAACCGAGTCTTGGTGATGATGCTCTGTTGTGGGCTTTCAATCCAAATGGGGACTTTACTGTCAAATCTGCCTATGTAGCCCAGACTCATGATTCATATTCACATCCTGATATTGTGTGGCGGTGTATTTGGAGGTGGGAAGGGCCTCAGAGAGTAAAGACCTTCCTTTGGCTTTTGGCGAAGGAAAGACTCCTCACGAATGTTGAAAGAGGGCGTCGGCACCTGACCGATGATGTTTCTTGCGAAAGATGTGATGCCATGGAGGAGGACCTAATTCACACTGTGAGGGACTGTCCGGTGGCTAAGGAGGTATGGCTGGAGCTTGTCCCAATCAATCACCAGTTCAATTTTTTTAATTATAATCTCAGGGATTGGGTCTTGGCCAACCTGCAGAATGTGGGGTGCATATCCAAGGATTGGCCCTTGATTTTTGGAATTGCAGCTTGGAAGCTGTGGTATTGGAGAAATGGTTTTGTGTTTGAAGGGAGGGAATTGCCTTTGAATCGAAGATTGGGGGAGATATCTAAAAAGGTGGCAGGAGTGAAGGATGCTTTCACAAGGTAGAGAGAGTGGGAATACCGATTTGCAGGAAGGAGCAGAGGATGCTATCATGGAAGCCCCAAGTTGAAGGTAGCTATAAGATCAACACAGACGGAGCGGTAGAGTTGGCTACGGGTCAAGCCTCAGCCGGCGGGGTGATTCGCGATCATTACGGTCGCTGGTGCTCAGGTTTTGTGATGAACATAGGCTTTTGTTCTATAATGGGTGCAGAGTTGTGGGGGCTTTTTCAGGGGGTTAAATCTGGCTTGGCAGAAAGGATATAGATGGTTGGAAGCAGAGGAGGATAGCCTAAGTATTCTTTAGATGGTACTCCAAGAAAACATCCCTCAGTGCACGCACCAGGGTTTGTTAAGAGCAATCAAGGAGCTTCTAGATAGAGATTGGGTAGTAGAGGTAAACCACGTTTACCGGGAATGTAATTTTGTGACCGACTATTTGGCTTTTTTGGCGGGATCGAATCCAAGAGGTTTTACCCGACTGGATTCGCCACCACCAGGGACTCATTGATGGCTTAACCATGATATACTAGGGACATCATACCCTAGGTACATTGCAGTGTAATCTGGATTGTTAATATCCCTTTTGAATTAAAAAAAAAAAAGAGTATTGAGTTCAACGTCCTGAGAATTTTGTGAATTGATTCAATCACTATTCATAATTTGGTGATCAAAAAGCAATTTTTAACTTTCAAAGTCACAAGTAATGTCTGATGAACGAAATGGTTGAAAATTTTTGATTAAATTAATTAAAGACTTTAATAAGGTCTACTATTTTATTTATTTTGTATACATCATACTTACATTGGTAGCGTATAGAAAACTCGCGCACCCCACCGTTCCCATTCTATTCATGAATCCAATTCGATAT